ATTCAGTACCTGTGAATATCTATGAACTCCGTTGAAGAGATACTCGTACTCCTAGCGTGGGAGCTGGCACTGAGACCAGTGTGTAGTAGAACAGCATTGTCCTTGCGGTCATTGAGTTGGCCCCAGGTCTCGAAAGCTACTCGTGCCCCTTTGAGAGGGTTAGTGGGGTGGTTATCCAAGGGTAACGGCTGTGGCAGGTCGAATGTCTGAGAAGACCACGGAGTGATGAGGGACACTCCCTATCGTTGCTGTCACCAACGCACAGTCGATATGAGTATTCATGCCTCAGCGTTCGATGAATCATTCAGTGAAGGACTCCGCATGAAACGCATTAGTATTCTCAATACAGGGAAAACGTCGGGCTACTATCCAGAGAATAGTTGATCTGCATACCAAGTTGAACCCTCCTCCTTAATCAAGCCTCGGTTTACCTGATATCCGGCAAAATGTGCTGCATCCTGGTAAGCCACCTCGGGCCCACTAGCAGTACTTGCATTGCGACGACTATGCTGTGCCGCCGCTGCTGCTGCTGTAGTCGTTAGAGTTCGCCGAAGTATGCACGATGCATTCACTCCGACTCTGCTTAGTCGATCAAGTAAGAGAAGGCTGGAAGAGTTCATACAAGATAAAACAGTGAAAGAGTCTATTGCCTTACAGGGACCCGACCACATGGTAGGACGAGAATAATATAATTCCTAGATACTAGCGATCATGAAATCGTAGAGTACAACTACTGTTGACAGACAGTAGCTAGCTGAACACGACGCAACGTTGAATTGGGGAAATAATCGAACTTAGGGTGTGTCAAAAGATTCGAATGCAACACGACATTAATCATACTATGATTAGTGCCGTATACAAGCCTTGAGGGACCAATTCTACCAGCCTCTACGCTTGCTTATGGAAACGACGCTGGACTCTAGCGTCTAGAGACGCGTGTCTGTCAAGCAGAGAGACAGCTGGTTCCTTCGCCTCGAGAAAGACAGTCTAGCCGTTCATCGACATCCTCGCAAGGGTCGCGTCGTTGCACAAGGGACAGAGGAGCTCAACAGCTCCATGATTGGCCTGTAACACTAGCAGATACCGTGAACAGTACTTAGGTCCCATGTTGGTTTGGTAGCCATCTGCTCAGTTGGCATAGACAGTTGGAGCAATAGAAGGTTGAAATCCCGTCAGAGGTAGCATATCAACAGCAAGAGTCCCTCAAGTCGCTGTAGAGGCCGAGAACCTCGACTTCGTTACAGGACGAGATGGTAAACTCCCCAGCTGCAGTGTGCTGAGAGAAGAGATCTGTGACGGGATCATCAACATCCAGTATTTTCACGACGAACTGAGACAACAGTAACGATGACTGAATACGGTTATTGGTACGATTTTCCTAGGGATACGGTCTCTCCAAACCCACAGGCCCGACAAAAAGGCATCTCCGTTACCACTCAACCATGACTAGTAACAAAACATTATCATTGTACTCACAACAACTCATCATCCATCGTGTGTACACCATGCATCACCGTCCTACTCGGTCCCACCATCCGCAGCTGCTGCCGATGCCTCCCTCTCCTCAGCTAGCTGTGCTAGTTCGGCCTCTAGTAGTGGTACGAAGTCAGCGTCGATGGCAGACGCCTCGCTAGGGTCAACAGCAACTGGGGCTTCAACAAGCTCCTTTGCAGGTAAAGCTACAGGTAAGGGAAGGGAGCTCTAGTGAATGTGAGTTACTAATACCTCCTTCAGTTTCTCCCCCTCCTTCCGGACTATCTCCTGCCTCTTCTCCCTTACCCTCCTCAACAGTATCTCCTTCGTCCTTCTCTACCTCTTCCGTTGCTGCTACCCGAGGCTCCCATATCCTCTTGTGCAGGTCACTATTTAGCCACCTCATACGGACATCCTAAGTAGTGACAAGGATGATATCGGCGAAGCGATTCACTGTCCTATAGTAAGTATCGCTACCTTCTCTCTAAGCTCAACTGCTGCCTCCAACAAGCCCAACAATATAACCTCGGCAGGGCGCTCCTTACTCACTTCCTCCTCGATAGCACCATCTAAAGGGTTCATGAAGCCTGACATCCTCCAGCCAGGTGCCCACCCTCGGCCTTCTGACCGCCACATTGTATCGCCTCCTCGACCAAAGCCTTTGCCCTCTCTAGAGTATGTTCCGAAGGCACACCTGGCCTTGGTCGCCTCATATCAGCCGATATGATCTACGACCATTGCCTCCATGGAATCCATAGTAGAAGCAATCACCTTCTCCCAAATGCCATCAGAATGTAGAGCGGCTACCAGCTGAGACCACTGGAGCTCCATATCTCCATAAATCGAAGACGCATCTTGCTCAGCGAGGAAAAACAGCACCGCCTGAAGTCTCGGCTCGTCAAGGGAGACCGTATACAACGATAACAACCTTCATGAGAACAGCCAATGCCTCTTCGGGTAGCTTTCTAGAGCTGATATCAAGTAGCAAGTTGCCCTTAAGAGTAGCATCCAATACAGACCTATACAGACATCTCTGTGAGCTTGATGTCCATCATCCAAATAAGTCACCCAAAGCTGTACCTCAACATCTTCAACTTGTGGGCTAAGCGTATAACCTCCTTATCATCATCAGTCGTATCTACAGTACTAACACTTCCTCGACCTCCGACCGCGCGCATTGAACCTTCCCCTAGTCCTTCGATTTCCTCCTCCACTCGCTTCTCCACCTCCTCCAGTGCCTCTCTACCGGTGGCCTCCACATACTTACCCATCAATTCCGTACGATTGGCCTCGCCAGCTTCAGACGTCTATCAAGCCCGACTTCAACCCACAGCTCATTGTTGCATACTCACTATGTATTCAGCCTGTTCCCTAACAGCTTGTAGCTCCATAGCAGCCTTCCCCTTCTCAAGGTGACCGCAGAGGGCAGCCAACTACAGTCCTGTTACAACCGCCTCTCAGCCACCATCGTCTACTACCTCCTCGATGTACTGCTGGCGGATCTCCAACAAGCCTCCCTCTGCTCCTAGGGTGTCCACACATAGAACCAGCTGCCCAGTTACGCCCTCCAAAGCACTCAATTCTCTAATCACTGGCTGTACGGGTTCCTCGGGATTCTAGGCAAGGAGAGACACAGCATATAACCCCGGATGGAGTCCCCTGCAGTCGACATTATGCATGATATCACCTCCTCCCCTTCCTTTAGCTCAGCCACTGCCTGCTCATATTGAGCCTTAGCCTCCTCAAACCTACAACACACTAGCCTCACGAATATTCCCAGCTAACTACGATGCCATTTCCTCCGCGAACTGTGCTCGTCGTTCCTTCATGTCGGTCACTGCTGCTTCCAGGCCCTCCTTATTCAAGAGGCTTGAATACCTACACACCACCCCGTATACGTCTCAAGTCCCTGGCCCGATCGTTGGTCATTACGTTATCGGTATAGCCAGGAAAGATCCGGGCTTAGTAAACTCGAAATACTTCACTTCGGGGACATCCATAACGTTGGATATATACCTACACATTGTGTAATACACAGTCTTAGCTGTAAACTAGATCAATGAGATGGTCCCCTCATGGCTTATCAAATGCAGAGCGAGATAGCTCCCAAGACATGTCATGACTCACAATTGCCTCGACCGAGGAGAGGGCTCTTGATCCCCTTCTTCCTCTTCTTCCCCTCGTGGTTGGAGCACCTGTTCGGCGAGGTGCGACAGAGTGATGTTACACGCATCTACTACCTGCCAAACAACTCCCTCACTTCCCTGCAACCTTGCCTCACCAGGGGCAGTACCAGAATTAGCAATGTACCTTCAGACGGCTCGCTGGGTGCTTACCCTAGACTGGCATGACGCACCGTATAAGCTTGGCTCCTTCCTCATCGATGACAACCTCCCCAACGTAACACCCGCTGCACCCAGCAACTGCCTCTCGCACACTGTCAGTTAGCTCTTGCCACAAGCCTGGGTTTGGGAAGCGCTGGCAGTACTTACAATCTAAAAAGAACAAGAGTAGCTACCAGGATGGACGTTCCAGAAGAGGGCTTTCAGTGAACTACGTTGATGAGGGTTTCGAGTTACGCTAGCAAAGTAGACTTTAGTGGCATCCTGAGTGAATTTATCCGAGTGATTGCATACTGTAGGTGATGACCGCCACGTT